GCCTCTGGGCGCGCGGGGGCGCCGAGGACCGCCCGGGAACGCTGGGGCGCGCTTGGGGGCGCCGGGGAGCGCCGGAGGGCGCCCAGTGACGCTTGGGAGCGCTTGGAAGCGCCGGGAAGCGCTTGGGGGCGCTTGAAGCGCCTCGGAGCGCTTGGGTTCGCCTGGGAGCGCCTGGGAATACTTGGGGGCGCCTGGGGGCACTCCGCCACCGCGCCTTAGTTGCAGGTCATTGGCCCGCGTTAGGTCAGGGCCGCTGGCGGCCATTGGGCCCGAGCAGAGTCTGCGGGAAGACGCCCCAGGCGCGCGGGGGGCTCCGTCGGATTTGAGATTCTGGTCCGGGCCCGCAACGTGAACCTCAGAATTGACGACTGGGGCATTGGGGATTGAGCAAGGAGCCCGAGGGCATTCCATGCGCGGCGGCGCGCCAAGGCGAGAACCACATTTTTGAACAAAGACCTGCCCTCCATCATTGAAAACGCCGCAAATGTTTAATACGATTGCGCGCAACGCTAGGCCAGAGGAACATGTTGAAAAGGAGCCGCCCTCCATCATTGAGACTGCTGTAAGCTTTCAAGACGAATGTGCACGGCGCTAGGCGAGAGCCACATCTTGAAAGCCAGCCGCCCTCCATCGCTGAAGCTGCTGCACAGTTTTCAGACGAATGTGCGCGGCGCCTTCTCGCGAGAACCACATTTGACCAGGGCCCCCCCTTCGTCCTTGAAGCCGTTGCGCACTTCCAGCTTCAGGATCATAGGCGGCGATGAAGTCTCAGACGAAGCGCCCGGCCCGCCCTGGCGACGCGATCGGGGGCGCGACTGGGAGGAGCGCGCGAAGAAAAAAGGGGTGTAGGAGCAGGAGGTCGAGCGGACGCGCGAGGGCGCATGGAGGAGGGGGCAGGGCGAGGAGCAAGGAGAAGGCTGTGCATCGTAGCTTTTCCGACGGCCTTCCCCTCGCCATAATCTCACGCCATCTCAGATGATCGCCATCATCGTCATCATCGCCATCGCCATCACCATCACCACCACAACATCAACATCACCGTCACCGCCACCATCCATCCTCCTCCTCGTCGAGGGCCACTCGATTGATTTGGAGTTCCCGGTTTCTCTCGTTGCGGGGAACGCGGGGGGTTCTTTTGATTTGCGTTTCGTTTCGCGACGGCGCAGGCGCGACGCATTGGTTGCGCGCCCCTTTTTGTGCGACAGAGGAGCGCCAGGCCCCGTGTTTGACAGGCTGCACAGCATCATCATCATCATCATCAGCATCACCACTATCATCATACAGCGACTTGTCGGCATTTGTGGAACAATCGTGGCCGTATTGTCTTTGCTCAAGTTCTTGAGTGTTTGCAGGCCCTGCTTGAACGACTCGCGCAGGGCCTCAGCAGTGCCGTCGCTACTGCGATCATAGCGCGTGGGAGTTTGACCCCGTGCCCAGATTGCGCGTGCTCGCCCGCGCTCCACTGCCCTGCGCTGGAGTGCCACTGCCCAAGCGGCGAGGGCCAGCTCACGCCGAGCTCGCGCACGGGGTGGTCGACGGAGCTCCTTGTGGTGCTGGTGCTGCTAGCGCTCTCCTACGGCGTCTGCATGGGCGCTCTCTACTTCAACAAGACGCCGACTTCGGCAACCCAGTCGCCTGCTGTGCGAGGCACGTCGAGCCCGCCCACGGCGGGGGCGCCCATCGCCGCCGTCGGCCTTGCGTCGGCAGCGGCCGCCCAGGCTTTTAGCTTCCGCCGCTGAGAGTCATCATGGCGATGCCTCTTCCTGGCCAGTTCCACTTTGTCCGATATAACATCGGTGGGCCTGCCATCTACCATGAAAGATTGACCCTGCTGCCTGGCTACATCTTAACTCCAGATGGCGACGACTGCCCCGAGAACGGCGTCGCAGGCGGAGACCTCCGCTCGGTGCACCCTCTCGTGTGGCAAGGAGAAGGGCTTCCTGGAGCTCCTGCGAGCCACCTCTACCAGTTTCGGCAGCTCCCTCGCGCGGCAAATGCATGGGCAGCTCTCCGACGAGGAGTCGCCCAGGGGCACGGTCCCTTTCCCGTCGCGCCCTGCAGCCTGGAGCTCAGCGCGACCGACGCGTCCTGGGCGCGGCGGCAAGCTAGGGCTCTTGCCTTGCCCGACCCGCCGGCGCCAGCTGCCGCCCCCGCCGCGCTGGCCGCGCCGCCCGCCGCTGCCGCGCCGCCAGTCGGCGGCGGCCTTGGCGTGCTAGCCGCCGCGCTCGGAGGCGGAGCGCCTGCGCCCGCGGCGGCCGGGGCGGCCCCCGCGGGCGCCGGCGGGGCCCTCGCCCCCCCCGCGGCAGCTGCAGCGGTCGGCGACCCTTGGGCGATGGCCTTCGCGCTCGACGGGCGGGGCCTGCGCGACTTGAGCTTCGGCGGCGCGCTCAAGCTCCAGACCGAGACTTTCCGCGCCGACTGGCCCGTGAGAGGGGGCCAGGGGCCTTGCTCGCGGCCCTCGACTTCATGCGGCGCATGGCTGTCGGAGCAATGGCCTGGCACGCCCGCTGGTTGGCGATGATGCAGGTCGGCGAGAACGACGAGAGCGTCAAGCTCCACGAGACGCTGCGCCGCGTGATCGAGACCGCGCTGCGCCGCCATCAGGTCGTGATCTGCGAGCTCGCCTCCTTCGAGTACCTGGCCCGTCAGCTCCGACTGGTCGAGGCGCGGGTCTTCGAGGGGCGCGCGCAGAGAACGCAGCCAGCGCCCAGGGCGAAGGCGCGGGCGAAGGAGGCCAGCCCGACCGACCTCGCCGCGGAGGTCGGGCTTCTCCTGGCCATTGGCGAGGCGAAGGGCAACCCGTGCATCAGCCCTGCCCCGATGGACCGGGCATCGGGTCAGATGAAGAACGAGGCAGCAGTGGCGAAGGAACGACGCAAGTCTCACGAGGAGCGAGCCGCGCGGGCGCCATGACGCACCCAGGGGACGCTGGCCAGGACGGGCCTCTCGAGCACGCCGTTCTTGCTCGAGAGCCTGGTCAGCTTCGCCCAGAGCCCCTCGGGGCTCCACCTGCATCGCCAGCGCGACGTTTTTCCCCTGCCCCTTCTTCCCGTGGATGCGCGTCGTCGCCAGCCCCTTGGACGAGCGGCCCGTCCGCGTGCCGCCAAGGGCGCGGGCTGGAGGGGGAGGTGCAACGATGCGTCGTCCGCTCTCAACTGGCCCCACTACGGCAAGGACGAGCTGAGCGAGCCCAGGGGCGGCGTGCACGCGCCCGCGGCGCAGGCAGCCTCTGTGGGGCACCCTGCGGGCCAGCGCCGCGAGTTCGAGCTGCCCGCCGCCTTCTCGGAGAGGGGCTGCGCCTGCGAAGCAGCCATCGTGGAGATGCTCGCTCAGGCACCTGGCTACGCTGGCGACAGCGGCCGGGTGCGCCCCTACAGCAAGCCACTTGTGGCCTGGTCCGCGTCGACGAAGGCAGTCTCCACCTCGAGCGTCGTCGCCGAGGCCGACTCCATCGTGCTGCCAGGCTGGAGGCAGAGTATGCTGAATCCCGCGTCGGTCGCGGCGGAGCTTCGTGAGTCGCTCGGAGTGCTGCGCCCTTATGTGGATCCGGAGCTTCGCTATCGGCCGAAGTCGCACGCCCAGTTTTTGAAGCCGACGGAGGCCCACGACATGATCTCATGGTATGCCTCCAGCCCTCAGGCCTCTTTTACAACCGTCTTGTTCTTCGTGGAGAAGTCCAGCCAAATGCTCAGGCTCGCGTTCGACACTCGGTTGGCCAACTGCAGCTTTGCGGCGCCGCCAGCCACGGGGCTTCCCACGCCCGGCGCGCGGGCCAGCGTCGACTGCGACGACAGTTGTGTTCGCCCAGGGCGACATCCAGTGCGCTTTCTATCATTTACGCTTGCCTGCAGGGATGGAGTCGCTGTTTTCGCTGCCCGTGATCTCCAATATACATCGGTCTCAAATCCATCACCGGAGCCCCCATCGGTATCAACGACTTCGTCCAGCCTTTGGTCACTGTGGCCCCCATGGGGTGGAGCTGGGCTCTTCATGTTTGTCCGAGTGCCTTAACATGAGCTCTCTCCGACGTTGGATCCCAGGATAGCGAGATGATCCTAGATGGTGGCAGCCCTCGTCTTTTGGTCTCCCCGACAGACGCGCTGTGCGCAGGATATGTTGATAACTTATGTGCTGTGTCCAAGAGCCCAGGGATAGCCGCGCCCCGTGCCCGCGCCGTCGCCGACTTCCTCATTGTTCGCGGTCTGCCCGTCCTGGACTTCTCTGCGGCCGTCAGCAATGGGGTCTTTCCAGGTTTACAGTGTACAGATCGACGGGCTGTCTGGGCTTATTCGCGTGCGTCCTGATCGGCTCGCCCGCGCCCGCCAAGCTGCTTGTGGGCTTATTCGACGTGGGCGGGCCTCTTTCGGGGGCCCTCACTGTGCTGGTCGGTCGTTGTACGTGGGGTGTGATCTTGAGACGTGACGTTCTGGCCATCTCCAACGCCGTCTATCGGTTCATCGGCGCCGTGGGGCCTCATCCTGGGCCTCTCTGGGAGTCTGTAGTCAGGGAGCTAAGGCCCGCGGTGGCCCTGACCCCGCTTTGGAGTGCGTCTACCAGGTCTCGGTGGCACTCACGGGCTTATGCTTCTGACGCTTTACCGTTCGGGAAGAGGGTGTGCATCAAGGACGTCTCCCCTCAGCTAGCTCCGGAGGTCGGCCGAGTCGCAGAGAAGTGGAGGTGCCGCCGGGGGTCCAGCGTGTTCGCCAGATCCCATGCCTTCTATGCTGCTGGCCCCCAATCACGATGCCGCTGATACTTGTCATCTCGCATCGCCACCGCTGTCTACGCCATCATCGTCGTCGTCGTCGTCGCTCGCGGCGTCGTCGTCGTCATCGCCGTCGTCGTCGTGGTCGTGGTCGTTGTCGTCGTCGCTCTCGTCGCCGTCGTCGTCGACGTATTCGTTTTCGTCGTCGTTTTCGTTTTCCTCGTCGTCGTTCATTTCCACAGGCGCCCGGATCGCCCCGGATCGGCGGCGCTGGCTGGAGGCCGCTACAATCGCGATGCCGCTGATACTCGTCATCTCGCATCGCCACCGCTGTCTACGCCATCATCGTCGACGGGCTGTCCTGGTTTCCTGGAGGTCCCTGAGTCTGTCTACGGGTTCGAGGGCTGGAAGACTATTCATGCGAGTTTGCACGCCCTCGCTGCCGCGCTGGGCGTGATATCCTGCAGTGCGAAGCCGAGGACCTGGGGTTCAGCGTCCACCGCGCGTCCAGGGCCCTGGGAGCTCATCGCCATCGCATCGTCTGCACCGTTGACAACTTGGCTTTGGCCCTCTCCGTCGGGAAGGGGCGATCTGGCAGCCCAAACCTCGCGCGCGCCATGGGGCGCGTCGCGGGCTCGGCGCTGGCAAGCGGCTTTCGCGCGCTGGTGCGCCGGGGGCCCTCTGAGAGGACTGTCTCCGACATGCCGTCGAGGCAGGGCTTCTTCGTCGGCCCGAGTTTCGAGGACTTCGCCTCGGGCCGGGTCGCGCGTCGGCCGCTCAAGGCGGCGAGGGGGCGGGCGGTCCACCATGGGCCCGCCAGCCTCCTGCGAGGAAGCCTGTCGGTGCTGATGGACTCCGCGGTCTCGGCGACGACGGCCAGGAACTACCACGCTTGCGCCCAGAAGTTTCTGAGCTGGTGCTTGTGGACCGCGAGGGGCTGCAAGGGCAGCACCGAGCTCGACGCCGTCCTGGCTGCGTTCTTCGCCCACATTTTCCTCGACGGTTACGACGGCGCGACGGGCCGCATGACGATGGCTGCGCTCAAGCACCACCCCCCCCTCGATGCTGGTGGGGGGCAGGCCGCTGCCCAGGGCCTTTCGGGCCTTCCAGGGCAGGGCCGAGCTCGTGCCCCCGCAGACGCGCCTGCCACTGCCGCGCGTCGCCACGTTCGCGAGCGCGGGCGCGCTGCTGGCCCAGGGGCGCATCGCGGAGGCCACCTTCGTGAGGCTCGCCTTCGACACCAACCTCCGCCCGAGCGAGGCCTACCGGCTCGCCGCCGCCTCGCTGATCGCGCCGCGCGTCGGGTCGACGGAGGGCTACCAGCACTGGGCCACCCTCGCCAACGAGGCCTGGCATGGCGGGAGTGACGGACGAGAGCGCGATCGTCGACGGCCCGCAGACTTGGCCTCTTCTCGAAGCTCTTCGGCAGGGTCGGCGTCCAGAGGCCAGCCTGCGGAGCTTCCCCCCCGACCAGGCGCGCCGGGCCTTCGAGAACTTCCTGGTCCAGCTCCAGCTCGACGGCGAGCAGGCCCCGCTGCGCTCGCTGCGCTTGCTGCGCCACTGGGGAGCGTCCGACGACCTCCTCGCGGGTCGTCGGGCGAGGAAGGAGGTGAAAGACCGACGCCGATGCAGGACATATCAATTGTTGGACATGCCGATGCAGCAGCGCCTGGGTCAGCCCTCGCCAGCCTTTCTGGACTTCGGGGGCAAGGTCGAGAAGGACTTCCTCAGCTCGATGGAGGCGAAGGCGCGGACGGGCATCTTCGCACTGCCACTGCCGCCGCTCCTCCCCGCGACCGCGCCGCCGCCGGCAAGGGCGGCGCCGGCGTTGACCGACCAGTGGGCCTTCGCGCGAAGCGGCTGCGGAGACGGGCTCGACAACGCGCTGCCATCGTGCCGTTTCATGTCATTTTGTGCACGTGTGCGCCGAATCGTATTCGGCGAGCTTGCGAATCCCGCGGGCTTGAAATTGCGGCCGCCAACCTTGCTCGGCGCCGTCATGGCGACGCTGGTGATCCTCAGGTGCTAAAGACTCTGATAGGGTGGGTCCGCCCTTCGGCGGCCCTCGGGCCGTGGGCCTCCCTTCCTTGCGCCGCCTGGAGGGTAGGAGCCGCTCGCTTGCGCCGCCTCGACTCGCTGCTGGAGGGGACGACGGGCGCGGAGGCCGATCGGCGGGCCATCCGCGTCGCGAGCGCCCTTGCCGCTGCCGCCATTAGGCTTATCTCGGAGTGCATTTTCCACGGGGTCCCGATAATTTGTGTGCGCCCTGAAGCCAGCTTGATATGGAAACGTATCCTCCTGTCCCCTCTCCTCTCCTCCTCCCCCCCCTGCCCCCATCGACTCCCGCATGTTTTCTGGTTGGGCCAGGCAGGGGATCTTCATGGTAGGTTGGGGCGTCGCGGACCTAAACCTCCTCGCGCGCCGCTGCCACTGCCCCCACAGCCTGTGCGATCGCACAGGGTGTCGCCATTTGGGGGGCTCCGATCGTCCAGCGCTGGACGCCATCGCCCGAGCGTTTGCGAACGGGCCCCCCTTTGAAGTGGCCAACGTTGGCACGGACATGATAGTGGCCGCCGCTCGTCAGCTGTCCCGTGCCGCCAGATATAAGAAAGTTTGTCGTCAATCAGTCTATTCGGCTGTGGCCATATGTTGGGACTAGCGTGTGGTACCGAGTCTGTGCTTCACCAGCTGTCGTCTCGAGTTCGTGGCCGCCCTCCGCCGTTTGCACGAAAAGGAAAATATGGCCCCGATCCATCCGCATACAGCGGCTTGTCGGCATTTGTGCAATAACCGTGGCCGTAATGCGTTTGCTCAAGTTCTTCCCATGGCCCTCCCGCCCAACTTGAGCGCAAAGAATACTCCGTTTCACCGAGTCTGTGCTTCACCACTTGTCGTCTCGAGCTCGTGGCCGCCCTCCGCCGTTTGCACAAAAAAGAGAAATATGGCCCCGATCCATCCACACCATCACCCGCATCAGCATCAGCATCAAAATCAGCGTCGTCAGCATCACCATATTCATCTTCAGATTCGTCATCGGCGTTTCTTCTCCGTCGCCGCCGTCGTCGTCCTTCCGTTGCTGGCGGCCGGGGCCCTGCCTTCAGGTGCAGCCCCCGGTCTTCCTCGGGGGCGGGCGCCGAGCACGAGGAGCTCGTCGGTGTCGTGATCGTCGTCGTGCTTGTCGCCGCCGTCGCTGTCAGAGTCGTCGTCCCCAGTCGTCGCCCTCTGTGTTATGATCGTTGTCGTCGTTCTCGTTGCCGACGTCGTGCTCGTCCTCAGTCATCGCCCTCTCGGCTCTGATCGTTGTTTGTTGTCGATCCGGTTGCCGTTTTCGTTGTCGCCAGTGTTCACATCGGCATTTTTCTGTTTGTCGTTATCGTCGCCGTCGTTGTTCTCGTTGAAATCGTCGTCGTCCGCGTCGTTGCCGTCCTTCCAGTCGTCTTTCTCGTCGTCGTAGTGGTTGCAATTCCCGTCGCCGTCGATGTCGTCGCCGTCCTCCTCTCCCTCTGTCTGCTCGCTCAATCGCTAATTGAGACAGTCGAGATCCACGGCGTGTCCCAAGCATGGAGTTTATTAAAGAATGCCGCTTCCCAGCCTCACCCCCCTTTTTCCGCGATGATGACGTGGGACTTTGTTGTTAGCCATGTATGTCCAACGTGGGTAATCATGTTTTTAGGGGTACTTGTTCAGGGACGATTATGACACAACTATGTTAGTCTTGCGATGACGGCGACGGCGGCGGCGACGACGCCGTCCCCCGTCGCCGTTGAGACCTCTCTTGGGGCGCGTTTTGACCACGACTGCGCTGCGGATCCCGCCGCGGCGGGGACGCCCCTGGAAGCCCAAGTTCAAGGCTCAACTACGCGTTAAAAGCGTCGATCTTCGAAGACGACGACGACGAGAATCGGGAGGAAGAGCAGGACGAGGTCGAGGAGGAGGAGGTGAATGAGGACGACGACGGCGGCGGCGGCGGCGCCCGCCTCATCCAAGGAGCAGCTGCGCCCCGACGCAGCCCAGCCGTCCTCGGCCTCGGCGCCGCCCCCGCCGCCGCCGCCCCCGCCCGGCGGCGGCAGCGCCGGAGAGCGGCCGCGGCCTGGCACGGTGCGCGGGGGCCGTTGTCGGCGTCGGCCGCCACCATGCGTTGCCGTCGCCTGGGTTGCCATCGGCGTCGGCGTTGTCGCCGCCCGCCGTCGCCGTCGTCGGCGTCGGCCGCCGCCATCCCCGCCGCCGCCGCCGCCGTCGTCGCGTTCGTCGTTGTCATCGTCGTCGTCGTCGTCGCTGCCGCCGCCATCGCCGACGCCGCCATCGCCGCCCCCGCTGCCACAGCCGCCGCCGCTGCCGCCACCGCCGCCGCAGTTGTCGTCGTCGTCGTCGTCGTCGCCGCTTCCCGCCGTCGCAGCCACAGCCGCCGCCGCCGCCGCCGCCGCCCCCGTCGTCGTCGTCGCCGTCGTCGTCATCATCGTCGTCGTCGTCATCATCGTCGCTGTCGTATTGGTCGTCGTCGTGCGACTTCAACCATGCGATTCCTTGAATATGCTGCAGTTTGTTCAAGCGAAGTTGCGTGGCGCTGTGCTGAGAGAGAGACCTTTTGAGGAGGAATTGCCCTCCATGCCTGAAGCGGTTGCAAAGTTTTATGGCGAGTGCGTGCGGCGCTAAGGCGAGAGCCACATGTTGAAAGCGACCCGCTCTCAATATGTAAGACTGCTGCAAACTTGCGCAACGTTGCGGCGTAAATCACCATTAAAAACGGCCCGATCTCAATTCTTGGAATTGCTGTAAACTGTTAAGACGATACGCGCTGCGCTCTAGCAAAAACGATATTTTGAAAACGGCCCGCCGTCGATATTTGAAACACTGTGCGCGACGCCATGGCGAGAGCCACATTGTGAAAACTACCCGCCGTCAATGTTCGAAACTGTTGCAAGTTTGTAAAGCGAGTGTGCGCAATTCTGAGGCGAGAGCCACAGTTAAAGAACGACTCGGCCTCCATTCTTGAAACTGTTGCAAGTGCCAAGCTTCAGGAACACAAGTGGTGAGGATCTTCCAGGCCCGCCCAGCCCGCCCTACCGATTCGTCTGAGGGGTGCGATAGGGAGGAATTATGCGTATGGAGAAAGGAGGGTGGATGAAATGGAGGAGGATCGTTTTTTGATGCGGGTCTTGGCTCGTTCAGAACGGTTTCCGTGCGTTGTGGCGTGCTTTCGGATTTACCTTCTGCTCTTTCCTTGCCCAGCTTCCGGCCCGGCGCACTGCCGGGGAGGGGGGCCCGCGCCGCCTCCCTGCGGGCCGCTGCTCTCTCTCTCTCTCTCTCTTTTTCTCCGCTCTCTCTTTCCTTGCCCAGGGAAGGGGACGTCGGGGGCGTCTCCTTGTCATGACGTTGTCGGTGGGGCAGGGTGCCGAACATACCTGCCAGGTCAGAACAATCATCATTGGTTGCTGCTTGGCAACCTTGGCTGTCTGTCTCTCATCTTCCCGGAGTCGTCCTGACCTTTCATGGATACAAAAGGTTATTCAACGAGCGGCTCTCCGTCCTCCCTCCATGCTAGCCACCTGCGTCGGTAATCGCCAGTGCGCAGCTCGCTGTCTGGCGCCCCTGGGCCGCTTGACCGACCCTCGCGCTCGCCAGGCCCGCGACAGAAGCGTCGCCGCCCCCTCGCCTCCCGAAGGGGGCGCACAAGGGCAGGGCGCAGCGACGGCTCGCTGCGCCCAAGATGCAGGCGTGCCCTTGCCGGAGGACCTTCGCAGGCGCACGTTCTCGTCGTACCCCCGCATGGTCCTGTTCGAGCCCGTCAGTTCGATATCGACCTTGGTTGGCCCGATTCGACTCGATCCCGATATTGAGGCGATCCGGTGCGGGCCGATGTTTGCATGGCGTTATTGTGCATCTTGGCGCAGCCGCGCCAGTTCGATCTCGATGCAACTCACATAGTGATGCCATCCGATGTCCCAATTCGGTGCTGACTAGTCTAGCTTCGCCTTCGCATGCGTACCTTCGTGGGTGAACCTGGCCCAGTCATTTGCGCGAGCATTTCGTGGCCATCAATGAGGCCTTTTGGGGCGCTCATTGGGTGGTACGTCATGGTTGGGGGCATCTGGGATGGTCTGTTCTTGCAATCGTCGGCCCCAACATGTCTCGCTTTGTTCCGCTCCTGCAGTGTCGGGCTTCCCGCGGCGACCGCGGAAGGCGGATCCTGATCGCCTCCCCTCCGCCCTGCATTGGTCCTTCTCGTCTGCTTTTTATGTCTCCTCGTTCTTTTTCGTCCCCCTCATCCATCCTCATCCTCTGTCCCATCTTCGACCCACTCCTCCCCGTTCTCCCTTCTTTGCGTCCTCATCATCCTCTTTCTCGTCCTCCCCGTTTTTGACACTGTGACTTGCTCTGTGTGGCGGAGAACACAGCGTGTATTCTGTCCCTGGCAGCGTCCTGCAGGTAGCGCGCTGCGGACAGAAGTTGCTGGCTCAGATCTGATCGCCAAATCGAAAGATCTGTGCCCTGAGCACCCCGAGTGGATCTTGCTCGCTGAGAGCAGCTTTCCTCGCCCAGATGGAACGTCCCACCGCTCGTGGAGGAGGGCGGTATGGCTGTTCAGTGGGAGGGATAGCCGACGTGTTCCTCGACTGAGGTGGACCATTCTCACCAGCCCCCTCGCATAATTATCTAGGGCTGGCTGGGGGCTGCGGTCTTTGGGGCAGACGGCGGTCTCAAGTGCACCCTCCTCGGAGCCTGTCCCTAGCTTCCTGCCTCACGCCTCGAAGGCTGGCGAGTTCAGCGAGCTTGAGGCCTCGATTGAGCTCCCAGTTGAGACGTTACCGGGTCCTCTTACTGCCTCACGGGCCAAGATTTGTTATGATCTTACGGTCCACTAGGTCTCTTACAAAGGATGCATATCCTGACCCTTAAACAAACTGTCCACCTGCCAACATACTGATGCAGTCACAGATAACTCTCACGTTGTCGACACTGCCGGCCTGAGTCCAGAGCAGCTCTGCTTGGAACCAGGTGATGATCAGACTGATGTGGCCGCTTGGAGGAGGACGTGGAGGCAAGCCATTCCTTTTCGCGGCCGAGCTCAGCCGAGCTCAGTCTGGTGGATAATCGCTTACACACCGCTCGGAACTTGCGTGCCCTGTTTGCTCGCATCCTCCTGCTTGGCCAGGAATGACATTGGACAATGTGCCGCGAGCCTCGACGCAGGTCAGCATTACATTCGACAAGCTATTGGTCCTACAGTCTGCGGCGCTACACGGTCGCCAATTTGCCATGTATTGTGCTTCCCTTCGGTTGCCGTGGTGTGAGGCCCAAGTGTACAGTGTATAAGTATGGTCGGTCGGCCCACTCAGGATATACACGCGACACATCAGCTCATAGACCCTGTCTTCGATCTTGGTCCCGCCTCTCCTCCTCCTGCTCTTCCTCCTCCTCCTCCTCCTCTTCCTCCCCTCGCCGTCTGCCCAGTTTTACGTGTGGGTCTGCCAGAGGTATCGGCAACTGTCGCGCGTGACGGCTGATTTGGCAACCACGTTGCCCGCTCTTTCGCCTCTTTTCCTCCTCTTCTTCTGTCTGCCCCATTATTTGCCCATTCGTTTTCACACAACACCTGCTGCACGTTTCACGGAGCAAGCTCAGGGACCTCGCGCTTGCTCGTTTGAGTGGCGTGGTCGTTGAAGTGGAACAAACACATGTTTCGCTGACCACACCTAGTTTGGGCTTCATTCCTTTGAGTATGACATCGGCGCTTGAAATCGCGTTGTCGGATGAACCAGTTTCTGGGATCGGTTAATCGGGAGAGTTGCCTACCGCTGCTCTTTGGACCAGCCAGCTGCAGTGCCGGCTGAGTTGTTTTTGCATTGATGATGCGTTGCTTTACTAATGCGCCCAGTGCAAGTCAATATGTGCCACTCGAGGCCATTCCTGCAACCTTCGTATGGAGCTTTTGCCTCCAATTTTGCTGGTTGTGGCACGTCCGACCTGAAGGCATATCAAGTTGCCTCCAATCGAGGCACGGAGCCGCTTTTGCTGTTCGCATAGCTCCTTGGAGTCACAGCGCTATTGAAAGTTGTACCTCCCCCTCCTCCTGATCATCCTCCTCTATTCCTGACTTTCTCCCTTGTGGCCTCCTCACTTCCTTCCTGACATCCTAATGTTGCACATGATCAATTCTTGAGGCGCCCAATGTCTGCGCAACAATTGGGCCTCCAAGCGGGCCAGTTGGCATGAGGGACAAGGGGCCATAGGGGAAACATTTCCTCTACCACCTCTCGTTCTGATCCCCTCCTAGTCCTCCCTCTCCTCCGCTCCACTCGTGCACCTTTCGTAGGACAAAACTAGCATAAACGTAATTTCTCTGAGTTCTGCGTGGATTTCTCGGATCGGTATTGGGCCCCCCCCTGGCAGCGCCTCCGGCGCTGCCAATGGCGCGCTCCGCGCGCCAGGGAGTGTGGTCCAGCGCCAATCTAAGAAATCTGCGCGGACCTCCGAACGCTGTGTTCATGTAACTTGTCGTTCCTCTATCCTTACACTTGTCCCGATTTCGGCCAGTTCGATTCGATTCGATTTCGATGTTGCAGCGGGCTGATGCGGTCAGATGTTTCCGAGACGCAATTGTGCATATTGGCGCCATCGCTCATATTCGATTTCGGTTCCGTGACGATGCAGCTTGATATGTCGCTCTTCCCGGTTCGATGTGATTCCCCCGATTTGATGTTGAATGATCTTGCCCTCGTTCCGCTCTTTTCCTTCCCCGTCTCCTTTCCCGTTCCCTCTTGCGAGCTGCACCGTCTGCAGGTCCCGCGCAGCAGGCCCCCGCCGCCGCCATGGTGGCCTCCGCGGTCCTGACACTGTCGTTTTCGAACCCCGCTGATGTTCCTGAAAGTTGCGTTCCCGCTTGGGCGCGGCGCATATAGCTGGTCGTGCTCTCCTCCCCTCCCCACCTCGGCCCCGCCGAGACGGATATCCAGTAACAGATGCTGCGGCAGCGGGCACATACACCCAGGAAGGTGGCAAGAGAGTGCAGCTTTTGCGCGGGATGGTGGAAGAACGTTGCAAGAACAACGGTGTAATCCTGCATCGACCAAAGCCACCTCATCAGAGTGGCGCATTCCCCCCCCCCTCTCCCCCCATTTTTCTGCGGGGACGAAGGCGAAGAAGGGGCAGGATTCGGTCGGCTGAAGAGGCCTGCGAGTGAGGCAACAAACGAGGATGCATCTGAGAGCGAGGCAGGCGGAGGATGGGGAGGGGGAGGAGGAAAGGGGGGAGGAGGAAAGGGAATTCGAGATAGAAGGATCGAGCTAGAGGAGAGAGAGAGAGAGAGAGAGAGAGAGAGAGAGAGAGAGAGAGAGAGAGAGAGAGAGAGAGAGAGAGAGAGAGAGAGAGAGAGAGCGAGAGAGAGAGAGAGAGAGAGAAAAAAAAAAAGAGAGAAAGAGAGAGAGGAAGCGAAGTATGATAAAAAATGACCAGCTGGAAAGACACAACCAGTGGGGGGAAGGGAGGGAAAGCGACGAGGGAAGACAATTGAAATATGCGTCTCTAGGGGGGGAAGGCGGGAAAAGAATGGGGAAGGGGAGCAGCGGGAGGGGAGGACGGGGTGATCCTGAGGCTGTTGTCGCCGCCGCCGCTGTCGTCGCTCTTCTTAGTCCGATTCCTGGGTTGGCGCCCTACCACTTGCGACCGTCCTTATCTGGCGTCGTCGCGCGTTCCATTTTTATTTGGATGGGCTCGTTTGGCGAAGTGCACGTCATTGTGGTATGCTTCGCAACAGCAGCCTCCAGTGCTGCCTTCATGGATGACGGGCTGCGCTGGCGAAGGCGGCGCATCTTGTAGGTTTCGCATTGTCGCCGCGCAAACGCACGGCGCGACTTGGTTCTTACATCGCACGTGTGTCGGTTGACGTTGCTGTCGTTGCTGCGCAGCTTTGCGCGCGATGCTCTCTGCGTTGCTACAGTACGTGTGGGGCCGGGAGGCATATACTCTTCAAGACAACATGGCGCGGCAGGACACGGGTTTCCTCATTGCCAGGTGCACGCAGCAACGCGCCGCGTTGAATCATTTGTGTTGGGAGGACCGTGCCATCAATACGGGTAGTCTGGAAGTGGCCATGATGAGGATGTTTGCTTGATCTTGGACAATCATGGTAATATGACGGGATTACGGTGCACAGTACGCGGGCCGAAGACTGTGATGCAAGAGGTTGGTGTAGTTGTGGATTTGGTGTGTGATCCGATTTTTGTTGCTTGCTGACAAAGTTGGACCGTCGAGGGGATCATGGACAATCATGGTAATATGACGGGATTACGGTGCACAGTACGCGGGCCGAAGACTGTGATGCAAGAGGTTGGTGTAGTTGTGGATTTGGTGTGTGATCCGATTTTTGTTGCTTGCTGACAAAGTTGGACCGTCGAGGGGATCATGTTTTTGTTGTCCATGGCCAGCGATGACGGTGATGATGACTGTGACGTATGTGGTGACGGTTATGGTGGTGCTAAGGATTGCACTGATGACGGCGGTGACGGTGTAAGAATGATGATACCGATGCTGCTGGTGACGTTGGTGTTTGTGTTGGTGTTGATGTTGACGAATGCTGCCGTCATGGCGAACGGGAAAACGACGATGCCGGTAATACATATATGTATACGCATATATATATATGTGTGTATTATGATTATGAGGATGATGATGATGCTGGTGATGATGATTGTGATCACCGTGATACGGATTGCTGTTGCTGGTGATGCAATGCGGGTGCCGGTGCGGACGTTGCTGCCGACGTTGACGGTGTCACGACCGATGCTGCTGCCAGTGCTGGTGCCGACGGAGTTGTTGCCGATGATGACGATGATGGTGGTGGTTGTGATGGTGAGGGTGACGATGAGGAATGCCAGAACGAGGATGCTTGAACATGGTAGTGTAATAGCATACACATACGCGTTCGGAATTTCGCGCGTATTTTTTGGATCGGCGTTGGGCCCCACCCCCGAGCGTGGCAGGGGCGACGCTGGTGGCGCCGCTGGGATGGTCCAGCGCAGATCCGAGAGATCCGCGCGGGGCTCGGGCAGCTCATGCTTATTCAATGTTGATATTCTTGCGCTTCGAGATGATCACGATCATGATGATGATGCTGATCATAATGATGGTGACGAGGAGGAGGAAGAGGACAAGGAGGAGGGTGGTGATGATGATGACGATGATAATGGTGCTGCTGTTGCTGTTGTTGTTGTCGCTGCGAATGGTGATGGTAGGGGTGCTTTTGCTGCTGATGATGATATTGATGGTGCTGATTGTGATGGTGATGCTGATGATGATGATGATGATGATGATGATGATGATAGCGATGATAATGCTGATGATGATCATGGTGGTGGTGATGATGATGTATGACGATGCTGCTGATTCTTCGTATGATTTTCATGCTTCTCAGTATTATTAATGTTGTTCTGCTGTTGGTAATGATGAGGGTCGTGCATATTTCGATGATGACGATGCTCATGATGATGGTGATGATGATTGTGGTGGTGATGACGACGGTAATGGTGATGGTGATTGTGATGGTGATGATGTTGATTTTGATAATGATGCATATGATGATGTTGATTATGATGATGATGACGATGGTGATGATGGTGAGTATGATGATGATGGTGGTGGTGGTGAGGGTGATAATGATGATGATGATGATGATGATGATGATGATGCTGATGCTGATGCTGATGCTGATGCTGATGCTGCGGATTATGATGATGATGTTGAGGATCATGTTGCTGCTGCTGGTGATGGTCATAGTGATGGTTATGGCCATGATGATGATGATGATGGTGGTGATGATGATACTGATGATGACGTTGATTATGATGATGGTGATGGTGATGGTGATGGTGATGATGATGATGATGATGATGATGATGATGATGATGATGATGATGATGATGATAATGATGGTGGTGATGATGATGATGATGATGATGATGATGATGATGATGATGATGCTGATGATGATGATGATGATGATGATGATGATGATGATGATGATGATGATGATGATGATGATGATAGCCCCGCTTCGCCGCCAGCCTCGAGCCGCCGCCATCCCACGCGCGCCAACCGAGGGGGTCACGGCGGGACCTTTTCGCGCGCGCTCGCGCCTCAGGTGTCGAGGCTGGGCGGACGGATTGGCTGGTTAGCCCGGAGGGGGAAAAATGTAACGATATCGCTACCCCTGCCTCGTTTTCCCCTTGTTAGGGTCTCCTGGGAGGCCCTCGTCGCCACCGCTTGATGTATTTCGGAGTTCTGGTCAGAACGTACCCGGGGAGATGTCAGTGGAGTAGCGGCGTCGGTACTTTTTTGCCCTCCCAGTTTTTGTGACAGCCGGTCCATTTCCGATGCGGGCCTTCGCTGCTCGAAGCGGATCCATGTAAGGATACCCACAGACCAGCACCGTCTGCTTTTTCTTGGGGTGGTAGTGGCTCCAGGCGGCGCTCCTCCGTCCTGACTCCACGGCGGTCCGTTCTCTCAGGGGGGGGCCTCGGACCTCCTCGCCTGGTGACAAAAATCACGACGGACTTTTTCGGGCCACTTCACAGTCTTCTAGGCCCTGGGGCGGTCAAAAGCGACCCGGGATGCGAAGCCGGTTTTTGGCAGGGGGTCTAGACCTTTGGGGATCCTGGAGAGGGGGAGGGAAAGGGAGGTGGGGAGGGAGGGGGCATGGAGGGAGGAGTGGTGGTGGGACGGTGGCATAGGCGTGGACGCTGTGATCTTTTGAGAAGGTTTACTTCAATGGCACTGAACCGATGCTAAGCAAAATTGTGAAGCCTGGCACCGAGCACGGCAGTATCCATACGGGCGGTGCCTGGGCAGGGGACCTGGGACAAGCCAGGGCGCCTGGGGTATTGGAAAGCTGCGACCAGCAATACCTGCTCTGGAACGGTCCCGCGGCGCTACGAGAGCGCACGGGGGTTGGGGAGGGGGGAGAAAGGGAGGAGGACGTGGAGGTGAGGCGAGAGCGGTCCTGAAGTGAGTCGACGCGAACCAGACGCCATCTCTGAGCTCAAGTGAGCAAGACGAGCACAAAGAGCAACACGGCAGGCGGCGCTGCACGCGGAAGGCGAGCGCGGTGCCGTAGGTCCCTCGCTGAAGAGAGCAGCAGGACGCACCGACGTTTTAGGAAAGTGCACCTTCACCGTCTTTCCAATGATACCTCAGAGTGAGGGGTTGAGCGCGGGCCGGGTCGCGGTTGGGTCGCGGGTGGGTTTGAGTGGTGGGTTGTGGGGTGGGTCGCGGGTGGGTCGCGGGGGGGACGACAACAAACAAACAATCAAAGCAAGCAAACACAAACAAACACCCAATCAACCAACCAAGCAACCAACCAACCAACCAATCAACCAACCAACAACAACGACACTGATAACAGCAACACCAACAATATTTCAATATTGTTCGTTCTTATCTGCTCGCGTGCCATACACGTATATCCCAAACACTCGTTACCCGCTTTCTTCGCCTTCGATCATACCCCTTTAGGCCCCTAGGGGTATATCTGTCATACCTGCAACGTCTATTTCGTACAGCCCCTAAGGCAGGGGAAGAGCGGACGGATGGAAGGAAGTGACAAGTGCTAGGCGGGTGGTTGAAGCGTGCGTCCTGCATGAATCGTGAGGAATTCTCGAGCGATGCGCGATTCCCAATTCAATCGTAAGGACGTCCACAGCGAGAAAATGATTCCCGAGTGTAGAGGGCGCGGAGTCTGAATAAATTGCGAGGAAGTCCCACGCAAGATCGCGACTCCTGAAGGCATTATGATGAATTCCCGCGCGAGAGCGCGATTTGGGATTACATTGTGAGGAAGTATCAGGCGGGAGCCGTTGTTGTTGTAGCTCGGGGCCCAACAGCGCAGTTTGATGAACCTTCGCTTTCCTTTGAAAGAACCGGGCGCGAGCCCCGGGAGAAGCAATTGAAATGAGCACATAGAATGGTTACCGGAGGGGGGGATCACCAACAATTATCAGTTAGAGTTGAGAATTCACCAACAGCAACAACACCAACAACACTAACACCAACAATCACACACGCAGAATTTGGGCCACGGAATCCCACTTCACCCACGCGTTCAGGTATGGTGCAAGATTATCCGGACCCCACACACTGATAGCGGCTCATGTTTCTAAGTACCTTCCGCGCATGGCCCATGAACAAGGACGTGGGTACGCCAATTAGCACGGCACTCAATATTGAGACGGCCGGTTACGAATTTGGCGCGACTTAACCGTGCCCCACATTGCCCAGCGCTCTTGCTCCCGGCAGAACAGCACCATAAGGATATTGAGGAACACATAGGTTTCGCATCAGCGAATATAGATCAAGGTGCGAACCCGAGGGTCCATATACCTGAATTGAATCCAGTAGCATATTACGAGCACAGCACATGTACTCACTTTTATCTGGCCTCGTCTAACTGCACCCACTGTTGTGTAGCGCCCCTGCCCAGGAGTAGGTACATACAAGCAACAAACATACGATCATGCTCCTGCGAAGCCCCAGCAAACCCAAACATGGAACGCACAGCTGGGCGCCCAACTGACAAACGTGCACTGCGCGTGCAGAAGCAGCATCATGTAAGCCCAGCAGGTGCATGCCGATAGAACGAGCTCAGCAAACATTACCTGGATGCACATTCGCCCAGATCCTGGCAAGGCCTACCAGGATGCGACGTACTCCAGCCTTAGGGCGTGCCCCTCAAGAGCCACGTTGAGGCACTGGGCACGGCCCTAGGCTAGCCATCAGCCGAAATGCCTGCGGGGAGCCTCGCGCTGCACGTGCTCGAGGAGAGAAGGTAGGGAGGGGCACTCGGCATCACAGGTGGAGAAGGCACCCATACTGCTACCCTTTCCTCGTTGTCCTTTTTTCTGGGCCTCCTGGAGGCTCGCTGCCACGGCTGGATTCGCGTCAAAATTGTGGCCAGAACGTTACAGGGGGAGGTCGGGGGAACAGCGGTATCGGAAGCCTTCGGTTTTCCCACGGGGAGGAGAGCGGATGGGAAGAGGGGGGGAGGGGGCAGGAGGAGGGGGAGTTGTGAAGGGGGGGGAAGGCAGAAGGAAGGGAAGTGAGGGAGAGGAGGTGGACCAATAAACCTGGTTGGACGTTGTTACTTTGAATCTGGCGGCTCTTGCAGTCTCTTGGCATGTCGATGTGCAGCATACGCTTTGTAGTACAGTTGCCAGCAGATAGCACACCGTGCACTGGGCTGCTGTCTCTTTCCAGCTCGCAATTGGCAGTGCCACCCCGTTGTGATGTGTCGCCCGTGTTACGGTCTGACTTCTCTTCGTTCGATTGTGCGCTCCAGGACCTGATAGCATTGAGGTCACAGGTGCCGCGCCGCTTGTCCGCTCTGTTCTGCAGCTCCTCGCCTTTTACCTCTTCCCTGTTCGCCCCTCCGCGTGAAGGTTGATCTACCACCATCTCCTGTCACGTTTTGGCCACCACCTCGGCGTGTTTCTTCCTTGATCTTGGCCCGGCCATTCTCCGCGCGCACGCGTCGTCGTCGTTCTCATCGCGTGCCTCGGTGGCGTTGTCGGCACGTCACGTCGGCGAGCCCATGGGCGATGCGCTCTCTGGGCGTAACGTCCGACCAGGGGGTTAGGTCGGCGGCGAACTCCGAATCCTACCCTCGCCGATCCATTATTCTAGCAACTCGATGGGCGGCGGAGGTAGGGTTCGGATTTCGTCGAACACGTGGCGATATCCGAACCCTGCCCCCGCCTTCATCGATTCAGGAGAATCGATGGTTGGTGGGAGTAGGGTTCGGATGTCGCCACCTAGTTAGGGACGCTCGATGCTTGTGCTCCCGCTGCTGCTGCTCCTTCCTCCTCTGGGGCTGGAGCAGGGGACAGGACAGGAATGCGAAAGCAGTAGGAATCATGACATTATCAGCTCGACCCGACGTGGTTGCGCCGTTCCTTGCTGCTTGGCGTAATATCTTAGCTCCTCATATTCTTCCTCCTCCTCCCCCCCTCTCTCTCTTACTTCTGTCGTTTCCTCCCCTGCAGATTGGCATGTCTTACTGGTCCTGATACCTCCCTCGTCGCCGCTACATCGGCCGCGCGTCGTTGAAAACGGTACCTGGCCTTCATGTATGCTTCCTAGTTTGAGGTTCTCTGCCTGTCGACTGGTTGTTGACATCAACCCTCGAACGGCGATACGCTATGTCCCGTGGGGGGGGCTTCACGCAGCTGCGCCTTGGGCGATGAGCCAGACTTTGGGTTCCAGCCCTGCTCGTGAGCGTCGTTCTCATTGAGATGATTTGATCGTCCTGTCCAAGTTCTTCCTTCAGCGGCACAAGCAATTGTCTTAGATCGTTTCCCTTGTGGGGTGCTCCCGACCGTAACCCAGCATGAACTCCCCTCTGCTTCTCATCGGCACGATTACAACATAGCTACGGAAATAATGGGAGCGAAGGCCAACCTCAGTCCCTGTCTAGTTCGAAGTGGGCTCGTTGTCGTTGTCGCCGCGGACGTTGTGCATTTGAGCCAGCAACCTGCCCAACAGCGGCCGCTTGTCGGTTTTGGACCAGGCTCGCTGTCGGGCATCGTGCCAATTCTTCTCGTACCCATTCCTTGCGTTCCACTCTCAGATGCAGGAGAAGGGAAAGGAGGCACGCCAGCAACAGCACCGATATCGAGTGGGCGTGCCCTCTGGTCGCCTCGCGCGCGCGCGCGTCAGCTGCGGCAGCTGGAGGCTCAGGCCATAGCGGCCAGGAGACCGCGCCGCGCAGGGCTTCGGGCCGTCCCGGTCGCCCGCGGGGGGCGGAGGGAGGCCGGTGTTATGAGTCTTTACAGGCCCTCTCGGCGGCGAGCCCAGAAGGCCTTCTGAGAAGGCCGGCCTCATCTCACTCTTGCCCCCGGGCTCGTCGCCGATCCTCGATCGGACAAGGCCGGGTGGAGGGAGGAGGGAGAACGGAGGAGGGAGGGCGAATAGGGGAAATCCAGGACATAGTTGGCATCCTCCAGCCCGCCGCAGGCCCCCCGGGTCAGGAGTGGGGGAAGGGGATATGCAGGAGCAGGAGGATGCCAGCTGTACACCTACACCGATCTTGGCCAGGTCCATCTTGGGCGCAGGATCGGTGTATACGTCCTCCTGGCTTAGCCAGGAAGGCCTGTAGGTATACCCATCCTGGGCCTGATACTTACCTGTCCAGGATCGGTGTAGGTCAGGTATGCAGTTGGCGTCCCCCGGGGGAGGAGGGAGAGGGAGGAGGAGGGCGAGGAGGAGGAGGAGGAGGAGGAGGAGGGAGCCTGGAGGCCGAACTGAGGACGGAACGAGTTTTGACGAATACCACCAGCAGCTCCTGCCGATCTTGAACCGGATTCGCTGCTGGCGCCACCGCAGAGGTTGCCCCACTTGTGACAAGCGTCGCCTGCCCAGCACCACGGCTGTCGGCTTTGGACAGCACTCGTTGTTGGGCATCTTTCCAGCTTGTTCTGCCCCCTTGTTCAGGGAGCGTCGAGGAGGGAGGGAGAGACGAGCATGGCGGATGGTGAGAGCGGAGGAGAGATGGGGGACGGCTGAAGCGAACGGGCAGGGGAGAGAAGGTCCGGAGGGGGGAGCGAGAGGCGGGTGGGAGAAGCCAAGGGGAGGACCGCAGAGGGAGAGAGCGGGGCTGTTCTCTCTGCTCTGGCCGCGGCCGCGCGCGGAGCCACTTCTCGACGCGTCGCTGCGCGCGCGCGCCCATGGAGATCAAACACCGTATGTGCGTGTGTGCTTATACCCTATCGATGGTGCTGATTAGTTGCTCAGCGCCCCTGAGCTGCTCGACCAGCCCGCGCGCTTGCCGGGCCTGCGAACAGACAAGTGTGTGCCCATTGGTGCAGCTACCCGCGATGATGCCGCCTGTACAGAGGGAACGCGCTTGAGCTACAGATGGAGGTGCCACTGGCGCGGCGAATGAGAAGGGACCATGGCGGTGCGGTCGTTGATTGTTGTTTGCGAGCAGAAGTCGGAGAGAGAGAGAGAGAAGTCCTTCGGAGGGCTGAAGAGTGCATTTGAACGGAGGAACGCAGTCGCAGGCAATCGGTTTTAGACATGCTCCAACGAGTGTTGCAAGTATTTGGCCCAAATTGGCACGCGAACATGCGAATAACTGAATTCACAGTGCGTTTGATCACACCCGTCATGAAGGAGGTCTCGTCGTACCCATCGTGAAGGAGGGGAGGGCACCAGAAACCGAGAGTGGCAGTCATGTCCAGAGATGAGGTGACCAGTGATGGTGGACCTGGAGTCGAGCCGCCAAAAAGCTGTCATGCGCGCATTTCAGGCAATCCTCCTCCATTGCCCCTTTTAGCTCCTCCTCTCTTCACCCTTCTCCAGCCTCATCGTCTTTCTCCTCATCTGGTCATGCCCTTCTCCTCGCCAAGGATGCTGTTTGATTGTTGTCGCCCTTTCAGGAGAGAGAGCGACACTATGCGGTCTGAGCTCTGCGAGATGCAGAGCAAAGAGAGGCCCTGCCGCCTGCTGAGACGACTGGCGCCGCTGCTTCTGCGCCACCCGCAGATCTTTCTTCGCCCTCCCCCCAACTTCTCCGCCGTCAGAAGATGTCCACATTCACCGCTGAGGAGCCGCGCCCTGGAATCTTCTGGAGAGGTGGGTGTGGACATATGCTGGCGGCGCAGTAGCCTCGAGCAGCCGTGGCAGCCACGTCGTAATCCTCCAGGCCTGTGTGAAAGCCTGTCCCCGCGGCCCGTCGGTTTGGACCAGTTGGGGTTCGCCAGCGGGGGCTTGTTTCGCGCGTGTCCTCCCGCTGCTTCGGGACACCCCTCGGGTGACCCCCCGCTGCCCCAGATCGATTGGTGTCAGGGGCAACGCTGGGGGGGAATTGGCTCAGAGGGAGCACGCATCGATGCCCAATCGCCCACTCGTCGATAGGGGGCCTGACAGCCCATCCTGCCCAGGAGCCCGATCCGTCGGCGATGTATCGCTGGTTTCAGGTCGATGTTTCCCCCCCCTGAGCCGGTCCCCCCCTGACGATGCCCCTCACTCTGGTGAACCATTGGTACATAGTAGGGGTAGGGTTCACGTGAGCGACCCAGAAACGGGTTCGATAGCGCCGACATTCGCGCGTAAGCTGCCCGCGTAAGGTCGCGCGTAAGCGCCCTCTTCTCCATGCGGTGCGCCACGCTGGCGGCTCGCGTACGCCGCGGCGCCAGGTCGCTATGTCATCTCGCTCAAGACCCGATTCTTTTCGTCGCTCATGTTTTTGCCTAGTAAGGCGAGTCTCGAACGCAGCTTGTGAAGTTGGAGTCAGAGCGAAACGGGTCGGCGGGGTTTGGCGTGCTTGAGCTCGTGTTGGGTGGACATGGGGCGCCGAACATGATTGATTCAAGAGGCTTACGCTATTCCACCGACCCCCAGAGCACGAAGGAGAAGGAGGAGGGTGGTATGGACGGTGTCGACGCTGGAAGTAAGAAGGAGCAGAAAGAGGGGGACGAGGACGACGGGAAGTTTTTTGATGCTCTGGGGGCCTTGTCGAGGTCCCCCCTGTGGAGTTTCTTTGAGTCAATTGAGTCCGTCGGGTGCCGTCGCGCGGGTGGGCATTCGGCGCCAAGCTTGATGGACTAGAATGATGCATTACGTCACGATGCATTGTTGCCGTTCACTGCCCCTGTCGGCTAGCAGTCAGTGTAGGCCTTGTCCATGCGCGCATGGCTTTGAACACGTGGTCGGCCTTTTCCCCAGGTGCCTATGTGCACTCTTGGTTCTCTCTCGATGCCCCTCCGTGCTCCGAAGTGGGGGGAGAGATTCGCGTGCTTGCGACGTTATTGACTCAGGTGTCGAAGAAGACACCGTGAAATAAAGTTACGCTTTCGGAGGTCTGCGCGGACTTCTTGGACCGGCGCTGGACACTCCTCCTTGTCGTTCGGAGCGCGCCAGTGGCGGCGCGGGAGGCGCCGCCAGTGGCCCCAGCGCTTATCAAAGAAAATCGCGTGGAACTCGGAAAGTTTATGTTTATGCAGTTTTCTGTTCGTGTGCCAAATTAGGAGCAACATGAGGGCGGGATAGGCTGAGGGGGGACGCATCGATCACAAATCGCCCACTGTTCGATGGGGCCTGACTGTCCACCACTATCGGGGGCATGTCGCCGATCCATCGGCGACGCATCGCCGATTTTAATTCGATGTTCCCCCCCCCGGGCCAGTTTCCCCCCTCAATTTTTCCCTTCGCTACAAGGCCCCGTGTCGGTGTGGACAGTCTTGCGTGCCAGCTGGTGCTCGTCAGGGGGTCGCGGGGGATCGCGGTGTATACGCCGAGGCAGCCCCTCGTGGCGCTGAGCTCCCCGCTGGCGGCGCGCGAAGGTGCCGGCAGCTGTTGGGCCTGAGGAGGAAATCCAGGCCTCAGGAAACGAGCGAAAACTCATGCCATATTTTCAGGGACAGGTACCGATACCGCTACCCTTGCCTCTATTCGCCTTTTGCGGCCTTCTTGGAGGCCCTCGTCGCCACCGCTGGATGGGTCTGGAGAGTAGCGGTATCGGTATCTTTGGGTTCCCCCGTGTTCATATATCAATGCCCCCCTTAGGATCCCGCAAAGGGGGGGGATGCCCCGGTGTGTGTGTGTGAGTTTGATCTTCTTTTGCACCGAACTGCCCAAAACAGATCCCCCTCAGCCGCTGGCAGCTCCCGATGGTTGCCGATAGGTGGGTGGGTCATGCGAGGGGCATCTGTTTGCGGCAGCGGTGCACCAGCGGATCGAACTCATGCCCCCCCTCAGGTAACCTTCCATGTCGTGGATCCCGCCCCCCCCTCCCCCCACTGATCAAGGTGGGCGGTGACCCTGATGAGTAGCACTTCGTTCGCAACCTTCCCCGCGCTCGCGCTAACTTCGAGCTTGTGGGAAGGAGGAGTGTCCATGACTTGTTTTCCCCCTACCGTCACACCGCCCGCATTTTCGTCTTTCTTGGGCCTCCTGCGGGGCCCTCGTCATCACGGCTGGATTCGCCTCGGGATTTTGGTCAGATCGCCCCCTGGGAGAGGTCAGGGGAGGATCAGTCTTCGTATGTTTTTTGTCCTCCCAGTGGAGACCCCATCTGTGCCTTATTCGAGCCTTTGAAGCCAAAGCCCTCGTGGAGAACTGGGAGGGGAATGACTGCTACCTCACGGGTGACATCGCCCTCCGACGACAACCTGGCAGGTTGTTGTGAGGCTTTGGATGATGGGCTCGGCGGCAGGCAGGGACCGGCCACTGGTGCGCGGTGGATGATGCATTACCTCGTGCCGCCCGAAGGCTGTCTTGCGTCGGCACCAGTGGGCACGGCTGCGGGGCCTCGGGTTGGGCCCCGATGACGCCCAATTCTGCAATGTGGCCCACAGCCTTGCGACCGCCATGGAGGCTCACTGCTAGGACCGAAAGGGCTGAGCATGAGCACGAGTAGCTTTGTTGGCTTGCAGGCGATGCTTCGCACCGTGAGAGATCGTCGCAAGCCGGTGCAAACCAATCCCCTCGCTACGCTCCCCTTCCCTTGCCCCTCCCCTTCGCCTTCCCCCTCGTCGTCGTTCCCCTCCCCTCGTGCATCCTCATCGTCCTGTACTCCTGCTCTTCTTGCGACTGCTCCTCCTATGTACTCCGCGTGCTCTCCATGCTGCTTTTCAGATTCCCTCCCTCCTGCGATTGCTTCATCGTCGTGTACCTAACTGCATTCTGACCGGCCGGACGCCTTTGCTGACGCAGGCTGCAGGAGACCGTCGGCCAGCACCAGCAGATGGTGCGCCCTGGCGGCTCTTCTCCTTGTGTCTGTTGCTCCCGGGAGGAGAGAGAGAGAGAGAGAGAGAGAGAGAGACTGAGAGAGCTGACCCCGGGCCCGAGTGCCGATGCAGTGTGGAGCACCGCCGTGACCTACGCAGCTGGAGCTAGCCACAGCTCAAACGATCAGCTACACATCGATTTACAAGTCCAATGTTGAGCCAGGAGTAGCGAGAATAAAACACAATGATTCAATCATCCGCTAAATGTTAGCAGCCAGCGCAAACCCCAGACATGATGTCTTGTAATCTGTGCGCTGCAGTCTGTGTGGTGCATTCTAGGTGGTGCAATACATGCGATTCAATCTACGTGGTTCAAAACAGTACAAACATACAACGCAATGCAATGCAATGCGATTGCAATGCCAAGCAGTGCACAGCAATGCAAAGCACTGCAAAGCAAAGGAATGCAAAGCAATGCGGTGCAAAGCAGCGCGGCGCAAGTGGCGGCGACGGACGGCGTATGCGGACGGCGACGGGTGGCCACAAGCCGGCCGGACCGCCATTGGCGACGACGGCGGCGGCGACAGGCGGCCACAAGCAGGCCGGCCCACCCACCAGGCCCAGGGCCGCTCTGGCCGCCATGTGGCCGCCGTCGCCGCCCCTCGTCACCACCCGTCGCCTGGGCCTGTGGGCCGCTCTGGCCGTCAAGTGTGGCCGCTGTCGCAACCTCGTCGCCGCCCGTCGCCTCGTTGCTGCCCGCTTTGCGTTGTTTCGCATTGCTTTGCATTGCTGTGCATTGCCTCGCATGGTTTGGCATTGCTTTGCATTGCATTGCATTGCATCTTTGTTTTGCATTTTCGCATTGCTTTGCAGCGCTTTGCATTGTTTTGCATTGCCTAGAATTGCGTGGCATTGCTTGGCATAGTTCTGAACTTATTTGCATTGCCTTGCAGCGCTTTGCATTGCTTCACATCGTTTTGCATTGCTTTGTAATGGTTTGCATTGCTTTGCATTTGTTTGCATTAGTTTGCATTGCTTTGCCTTGCGTTGCTTTGCATTGCTCTGCATTGTCTTATTTGCATTACTTTGCAGTGCTTTGCATTGCTTTGCATGTCTTGCGCAGTTTTCGATGGCTTTGCGTTGCTTGGCGTTGTTTTGCACCACATCGGTAACACCACATGTATTGCACCACTTAGATTTCACAATACTGCTTGCTCCACCCAGACCGCACCGCATATATGGCACGGAATCACTTTTTGGAGTCCGCACTGCCTAACACAAGTATACATGTATCTAAGATGCCTACGGCGAATCACCGCCGCCCCCTGCCTTTGTGGACGCGCCTATGTGGCCGGCAGCTGGGCTAGAGCTTGGCCAAGCTAGCGGCCCAGTTGTTCCCCGAGTCGGTTTAGAGAGCCTTCGGGGAACGCGTGGGGGAGCAAGAGGTTTGAAAGCGCTCATGTGTCCGAGCGTTGTGGCAACAGCTCTGCCAAGTTGTCGGACCATGTGTTCCCCCAACCGTTGTGGAAACCCTTCGGGGAACACTTCTCGGAAGATGGCGGGGAAGATCAGGAGGAGGAGTAGGAGGAGGAGAAGCAAGAAGGAGGAGGAACAGAAAGAGGAGGAGATCAGGAGGAGGAGTCTTGGGCGTCTTGGAGGCCTCTTGGGCCGTCTTGGGGGCCTCTTAGGGCCGTTTTGGGCCTCTTGGGCGATCTTTGGCGGCGCTTGGGCCGTCTCGGGCCGTCGGAAGGCAGAAAAGAAGTAAATGCCACAATCCTTCAAAAACTCATGGGGAATCAATGATTTTGGCCTGTTCGGGCCTTCATGGAGATCCTCTTGGATGTCTCTTGGGCCGGCTTGGGCCATCTTAGGGCCATCTTCGGCCGTCTTGGTGGGCTCCTGGCCCGTCTGACGCCGTCGGAAGCCGTTTGGGGAGCCTCTTTGGGCCGACTTGGGGCCCTCTTGGGTGTCTAAAAGGCCTCCTGGGTCGTCTTGGGGGCCTCTTGGAGCCGTCTTGGACGTCTTAAAAGCCTCCTGGGCCGTCTTTGGGGCCTCTTGGGGCCGTCTTGGGGGCCTCTTGGGCCGTTCTTGGGCCATCTTGGAGGCCTCTTTGGCGATCTTTGGGCGATCTTTGGGGACTCTTGGGCCGTATCGGGCCGTCGGAAGGCCGAAACGAAGCAAATGACAAAATCCTTCAAACACCTCAGGAACATTCGTGTTTTTTGCCTTCTCTGGCCTTCCTGGAGGCCCTCTTGGAGGCCTCTTGGACCGTCCTGGGCCAGCTTCGAGCCAACTTCGGCCATCTTGGTTGGCTCCTGGCCCGACTGACGCCGTCGGAAGCCGTTTGGGGGGCCTCTCTGGGCCGACTTGGGTGGGCCCCTGGCCCGTCCGACGCCGTCGGAAGTCGGTTTGGGGGCCTCTCTGAGCCGACTTGGGGCCTTCTTGGAATGCTCCAGGGCCGTCTTGGAGGCCATCTTGGGCGTCTTAACGCCTCCTGGGTCGTCTTGGGGGCCTCTTGGGGCCGTCTTGGGGGCCTCTTGGGCTGTTCTTGGGTCATCTTGGAAGCTTCTTGGGCGATCTTTGGGGGCTCTTGGGCCGTATCGGGCCGTCGGAAGGCCGAAAAGAAGCACATGTCAAAATCCTTGAACAATCTCAGGAAAATCAATGTTTTCGGCCTTTTCTGGCCTTCCTGGAGGTCGGACAAAACAAATTCGCCCCTAGAGGTCAGATTCTTGCCCATATCCACTGCGCCGCGACTTGTTGGCGCCCCTTCCCAGAAAGTCCAAGACGCAGTGGATATGGATAAACGTCGTGCCCGCACAGTGCACCCCCTGACCGCCTCGTTGAACAAGCGCGCGTGTTGATGATTACCGACCCATTCACCCAACGCCCAGCGCTCATTCCCTGGCTGACAGGAGGGTCTGTCTGGCCCGGTCCCTGCCCGCCCCTTCGGAACGGCGGACCCAGCGTGGCCAGGAGTACATACGCAACGTGTTCCGCAAGTTCGTCGAGACGGCGCCCACGGGCACCAAGGATCGGTGGCGTCGTGGCGGGAGGGGGGGAGAAGCTTTCGCTGGTTCCTGAAGGTCTTCTCGCTTTGGTATGGTTTTCAGCAGTTGCGCCCCGTCTGCAGCTTTCGAGAAGTGCCCTAATCCATCTGCCTCCGGCAATTCCGCCACTATGCCAGCGCAGCCTTCTGGGTGGCACGTATTCGAGAAGGCAAGGGGGCTTGCTGGGGGCCTCTTAGGGCAGCAGGCTGGAATTCTTGGTTCGTGTTCCCACTCTTGGGGCTTTTCTCTGGGCCGTGTTGGGGTTCTCTTGGGCAGTCTCAAGCTCCTCTTGGACCGTCTTGTACCCTCTTCGGCCGCCTTGGGGGGTCTTGTGGGCCTCGTGGGCCGTCTTGGAGCGCCGGAAGATCGAAGAGGCGAAAGTCCAGAGCACAATGAAGAGGAACAACAGATCAATCTTCTTTCCCTGGTAACATGTCGCTGGAGCGTTGTAACAAGTTTAGAAAAGTTTAAATGTCCCCCCCCCCGCCAGAATCTCCACATGAGGGCTGGGGGGAGGCGTCTCCCAGGTCTGGCGGCGGTCCGACAGATCGGTCCGGCAGCGTTCATTTTTGTGTTTTGGCTCGGTTTGGTTCCGAAATGCGAGTCACTTCAGTGTTCTTGCTCGGTTTCAGCCCTCGCAGATCGAGAACAAATGGCTCACTTCGGTGTTTTGGCTCGGTTTGGCTCAGAATTTCAACTCACTTCTACGTTTTGCCTTGATTTCGGCTGACATGGATTTCTCCTGGGGCTCGAATCCGATGTTTGTTTACGTATGTTCCTATAAATTGGCCCATCTATTGTGGCTCGAGTTGCATATATTGCATGTTTGTTCTTATTGATTTGTGGCTCGGTACTGGTTGACATGCACTTATCCTGGGGCTCCACCACCGTATGCTTCACGTATCTTCCTATTCATCGCCCGTCTCCTGAGGCTCGAATCGCATTTGTGTTTATGCATGCTCCTATAATGTGCCCCTTTCCTGGGGCTCGAAACCCATGTGTTTTACGTATGTTCCTACTGATTGCCCTTGTATTGTGGTTCGAGTATTATGTGTCTTATGTCTGTTCCTAAACATTGCCCTTTTCCTGGTGCTCGAAACCCGTGTGGTCTACGCATGTTCCTATTGATTGCCCCTCGTGTGGCTCGAATCCTATGTGTTTTACGTTTGTTCTTGTAGATCGCCCTTTTCCAATATGTATTGAATCGCTTCGCTCGCTCCGCCGGCCCATATTGCCTCGCTGCTGTCGTTTGTCGGGGTGTTGTTGTCAATGCGGTGCGGTTGGGCGGTTGCGATTTTCCGCAGGCGGTGGGTGGCGGGTCAGAGGCCTCACAGATGTTGGTTGGGCTCTCCGTGGTTGGCCTCTCAGGGGCCTTCCGGAGGCAGTTTTGACCCCTCTTGGGGGCTTCTTGGGGCTTCTTGGGGTGCCTCTTGGCGGCCCGTTGGGGCCTCTTGGGGGCCTCTTGGGGTCTCCTGGGGGCCTCCTGGGGCTGAAGGCTAGACTTTTCGGTTCCTGGTCCCCTTCTTGTGCCCTCTTGAGGCCGATTCTCTTGGGCCGTCTTGGCCGCCTCGGGCTGTCTTGGGGCCATCTTGGGCCGTCGTGGGGCCCTCTGGAAGCTTCGTGGGCCGTCTTGGGGCGGTCTTGGAAGCCTGTTGGGCCGTGCTGGAGTGCCGTTAAGCCGACAAGGCGAGAACGCCAAAAACCGTCAGAAACTTAAGGAAAATCATTAATTTCTGCCTTTGTGGGCCTTCTTGGGAGGTCTCTTGGAGGCCTCTTGGGGCGTCTAGAAGGCGCTGTGGTCTGTCTGGAGGCAATCTTTGGTGTCTTGGATCGCTCTCGGACAGTCTCGAACCATGTTGAGCTCTTTTGGAGGCCACTTGAAGCGCTCTTGGAGCGCTTCTGGGAGCCTGCTGGGCCCTGGCCGGGACCTGCCCTTGACCTGCCTGGGACCCGGCCAGGACCAGGCCAGGATTTGGCCAGGACTTGCGGGAGTATTTTTCGCCCGGGGACACCCAGGGGCGGCTTGTTAACGAGTCACTGGAGATCTTAGCACGCCCTTGGCCCGTTGGGCCAGCGAATTGCGCTAAATATTGCTCCCATTTTGTGGCTCGAATCCTGTCTGTTTTACGTGCGTTCCTCTAGATTGCCCTTGCTTTGTGCTCGAACCCCATGTGCTTTACGTATGCTCCTATCAGTTGTCCCTTTTTCGTGGGGTTTGAATCCCATGCGTTTTACGTATGTTCCTATCGATTGTCTCTTTTTATTGAGGTTCGAACATGGTATTTCTTACGTATGTTACTACAGGCCGCGCTAAAGCGACCCCGCCCCGTTTTGGCCCTCCGTCGCCATTGACTCAAGCTCGGCCAGGTCGTACTCCTCTTCCCACTCCTGCTCCTGCACCTGCAGGGGTGGGGTCGCTCGGTTTCTAATGATGTTCCAAGCGCTTTCATGCCACCATGTCGACATTACGAACGTTACCCTCGTCGGCAAGTTCAATTCCGTAGTCGTATCGACGATATGATGAGGTCGTTCTCGTTCAGCCGACGCTTCAGCCATCGGCCTCCGCACCTTAGCCTCCATTCGGGTGCTTTGCTGGGGTAGTCGAAAACCACGAGGCGTCGAAGAGGGGTGATAGGTAAGGAGTGCGTGGATATCATGACTGGGGCCACGAGTTCGCCCATATTAGCCTCCTCCCTGATTGTTTCGATGCGAACCCTGCCCCCCACCCACCCGCGCGCATGTCTCAGGCCATGATGCGTAAACCCGTTCGGCGCACCCGAGAGGCTCAGCTTCTTTCAGGCCTTCTGTGGCTGGGGGTGGCCCCCAGTCGCGGGCCGGATACTGCCCAGGCATTGCGGTCAGCGCGCGCTCCCGGATAGAGCCGCCGACGGGCACATGGAGTGATTTCTCGCCATGGTGACCTGAACGCGATGCGGCGCCCACGGGGTGCACAGGGAGGAAGCCGTCTGGAAGTAGAGCGGTTTCCAATCGACGCGGGCGAGGCCCAATTTCTTCGGGACGGATCCCAACCAAACAGTTTTCATTTTCCGAGGAGAGAGCGGAATCATCCTTATGATCTTTGCAGACTATGTGTTTCGAATGCGACATGTTTACGACCTGTGAGTTCATGCAAGACCCTCCGACCTGGCATCTCTGCCGTCGCTGGAGGAAGTCACGGCGGGAGTTCTCCTCTTTCACAGTCGCCGACAGGAGCCGGCTGATTGGCTCACGGGGGGAAGCGTCGACCCCGATATAGCCCACTCCTCACCAGGTGGCCCAGCCTGCTCAGGAGTGCGCGGCCTTGTTATCGAGAGCCCATGGAGGATCTGTCGGCGATGCATCGTCGATTCCACTTCTCCCCCCAGGAGCCAGTCCCCCCTAGCGGCCCCCCTCGCTCCAGGACCCTGGTTTCGGGGACCATCAGCAGGCCCCAGGGGGCAGTCAACAGAGGCAGCCCGCGTCGAAAGAGCCTGGCATAACTACGGGGGGTTCGGAAGCAAATCACGGGAGCTGCGTGTACCTTCGCAATTCCGTCATCAGGGTGCATTCGCGTCGATCGGCGTTTGGTATTCGGTGCGTTAGCGCCGTCAAAGCGTCGATCAACGCTGATCTAGCGTATATGTAGCGCCAACGCATGCTGACTAGAGTCGGCTCGCAAGAGCCAATCAGATGGTATGGGACGCTCCCATGAGGTGCCGCAGAAAGGTGGGGGGTCGGGAGCTTCGGGGACCCACCTGGTTGAGGCAGTAACGACATTCGATGACCCTCAGGACAAGACGTTGAAATAAGGACCACTGTGCGCTCAGGATGAGGTTATGTTTTGTTACCGGTTCCTTAGATATTGGTCGAGAAATTTGTGGCCGAGGCTTGGAGTGGCCAGAAAAGCCCCTTCGTTCCTCATGCAGCGTTCCTTATGGCAGCACGATGACTGTACCCAGGCCTCCCGAATGGGGCTGGAGTAGAGCAGGTCGGAGGGTCGCGCCGCATCGACACTGCATCGGCGATGCCACGGGATCTGGAGCCCAGTCTTCCATCCCGCCGCCGCCGCCGATGTATCGCCAAAGCATCGGCAATGCAGCGCGATCTCCGACCCCATGTGTTCTGGCCCCCCATTGGGGAGATCTCCAGGTTACCCGTTCAGCCCCATCGTCGGTGCGCTGCTTGTGTCGGCCCTCGTGTTGCACCGCCTGCGCTGTGCTGAGAAGGGCTCTGGGGGACAGGCTCACGTTGTTGCTATCGCACGTTCCGAGGATCATCGATCGTTGCTCTGGGTTGTCATCCTGTGGCGCATATCAAAGGTGGAAAAATTGCAGAATCATAGTATTTCGAAGGCTTGCGCGGATTTCTTGTATCCTCGCTGGACCCCCCATGGCGGCGCCTCCAACGCCGCCCCTGGCGCGCGCCAGGGAGCAGGGTTCTGAAAGCTGTTGTTTATGTAACCTCATGCCCGTGAGAATAAACACTAGGGGATAATAAAGTTCGGGGTTCAGGGAGAGATAATAAAAGTAGCCCAGCAGACCTCATCATAATCTCGAAGTAAGAGATGATCAAGAGGAGACCAAGCCGAGCACGTTTTGAGACATCCTGGGCGTTTAGTTTTCATAGAAATATCCTCAACAATGGCTTATCTCGCTGGAATGGAGGAAGCTATATATATATATATATATATATATAAAAGAAAAATAAAAGTAATAAATAATGAAATAAAAGAAATGATAGGAGGAGGAGAAGGACGAAGAGAAGAAACACAACTCGAGTTTCAAATCTATTAGATTTTATTTACAAGCGCTTTATGAAAATTGTGTTTTGTAAGTGCTCGAGTAGGGTAGCTCATGTGCCTCAATTTCCATGGATAATCAACCCCAGAGATAAAAAAGTTCAGGCGAGCGTGGGGACAGAGAGAACTATAAAAGAAGAAGAATACAGTAGAATAATAAGAAAGAAGAAGACGAGGAGAATAAGAAGAGGACGAAGAAAGAACAA